CTGTCGATTAATCACACGCAACGCATGTGTGTGTGTGAGAGAGAGAGAGAGAGAGAGAGAGAGAGAGAGAGAGAGAGAGAGAGAGAGAGAGAGAAAGAGAGAGAGAGTGTGTGTGTTTTCTGGACCCGGGGGGCTCGGCATGCGCGAAGGCGTGGGAGGACGAATACAGAAGGCGCGCGGTGCGGGAGGGGTGGAGGGTGTCGCCCGTCGCTAAAGTTGCGTAAGTTTGGAGTAGCGTTTGAGCCCTTTTCGTCTCCCGTGGAAGTACGCGTGCGAGGCGAAGCGCGCGTGGGCGGGCCGCCCTTATTCGCTGCTCCCGCTCCCCGCCGCTCCCCGCTGCTCCCCACCGCTCCCCGCCACCGCTCCCCGCCACCGCTCCCGCGCCGAGATCCTCGGGGATCGACGCGGATGGGATGGCATAATATCGGAGCGCAAAGACTCCAGATTCGGGCCGGGATTCTCCTGCTCTGCGCTCCCCGCCCGCGCCCCCGCCCCCGCCTATATCTGGCGCGCGGCCAGGACTTAGTGTTTCGAGGAATGCGGATCGGTCGGCACGGTGGGCTCCAGCAGCGGGGCTCCAGCCGGGGCTCCAGCCGTGAGCGAGCGGCGAGGTCGCGCTGTGCGCGGGCCTGGCTAGCTTATCACTTCACTCGGGATCATCCACCACCCAAAAATGAGTTCAACCCACTTCCATACGAACAAAAAATAGTAGGTCACTAAGTTTGCTTGTTGTAATTAAAATGGTGTTCAGTCTACCCTCTGAGTTATAACCATAGTATGTTCAGTTGGGTAATTCGATGTGTTTGGATGGAGCGTCTGAACGCTCAGCCAGCACAGCGCGTTAAAACGTCTAATGGTTACGACCGAGGGGGCAGACTGAACACCAATTTAGTTACAACAACAAGTATTTTTCTACGTGCAGCAAAGAGAGTAGTTCCTCCTTCTTTCCACTGTATTTTCAGGGGGTGAGGCGTTATTATTGGGAATGATCGGGGTTTACTCATTCGGTTTCGAAGTTTGTTGGTTGTAGTTTTGCACCATAGTGACGAGATCTGTAGATGTGGTGGTTTTACGTTTTGTACGGTAAGTTTTGAATGGCAGAAACATGGAAAGAGGACGAGTGAGTGAGCAAGTGGAGTCTGGTTTAGCGCTCCACATTCTCCACCACCGGCTGCCTTTTCCGCCCACCCTAACTTTTCGTCCACAGCTCCAGAATTGGCACGTCGTTACAGAGACGTTATCAAACCGCCCATTACTTCTGTGCTTCGACTCAGTTTCTTATCGTTTTCCCTTTGTGCTATGGCAAAAAAAAAAACCTAAGTCAAGATGTGAAATTTTACCAACGCAAAAAGAAAGCAGTATTACAGACTTGTAATCCCGCTTGGAAGCGATTTTCTGCCCCTTACCCTCCCTCGTTCCCTTGCCCACATTATTTTTGCTCTCTGTCACTTTGCACTTATTATGGCGATCAACCCGCTGATGAAACTTGTGAGTTGTCCTCGACGGGCCGCGGGCCGCGTGTGGGACCCAACTTGTTTTTACCAATTAACCTGAGTTTGAAAAAGTTTCGGCGGCTGCGCCCGTTATGTGGCGCTGCCTTTGACGCGCCACTCCACGCCACGCCGGCCAGGGGATCGACCATTTTAATGGAAGTGACACGGAAAGTGAGCGAAGAACCGAAGGGGAACCGAAGGGGCTGGCGGGGGGCGAGGATGGCCGAAAAGGGAATGGGGGGATACGGCCACGGGCCAGGGGGCTGTCTCTAGGGAAGGGGCGGGAGGTGTGGGGTGGGGCGAGGCGCGGGGCGTGTGATGGAGGGGGAAGGGGTGGAAACGTATTAAGCGACCCCCGAGCCGTCAGCCCATCTAGTCATCGGCATCGCTTCGTCAGCCATAATAGGTCGCCGGCAAAGAAAAAGCGGAAAGAAGAAAAAAAAAGGCTGGCTTTTTTCTGGTTGCATTATCATCATCGCCCCCGAGCGCCTCGCCTGCTTGGGGCAAGTTGCTGAACGTCACGGAAGAGTTCGGATGCCAAAAAAGAAAGAAGCATTTTATGAAATTTGCTGTAAAAATTTAACGTTGTTTTTCTTTTTGCATGGTCTTTTTACTAGACTTTTTTCGACTTTTTTCTAAGACTTGTATATATGAATGTTTGCACTCGTTGGCATTAGCTAGGGGTGCTGGGGGTGACACGACTGTCTCCTTCAGCTCTGCCGTGACGGCTGTTCCGCGGCCCAGGCAGGCGGGGCTGTTGGAGGGGTCGAGCCAGCCGGGTCACAACCCCAGCGAGGAAGGGGAGGGGGGTGAGGCAGAAAGGGGAGGGAGGCACCGCCTGCAGGCGTTCAACAGGTTTACGAGAATGTATTCCCCGGCAGCTGTTGAACTTTGGCCCTCGGGGCACTAGCCAGCTGGGCTAAAGCGGGGGCGCCAACCCAGTCCACGTCTCACCTCCGCGTGCCCTTAAGCCCGCGAACTTTCGAGCTGGGAGCAGCCGCAGCAGACGAGATGAAAAGTGTACCCGAAAGTCGCGCTCAGCTTTGGTCCCGCGCTGGAGAGACGCGTCTCTCCCTCACGCACTTTGAGGTCTCACTGGGCCCTGTTGGGAAAGGGAAGAGGGAAAGGGGAGAGGGAATAAGGGGGCGGAGGAGGTTGCCGCCCGCCGCCGCGGGCTGTTTGCCTGTCGTCCAGAGAGCTCCCCGTCTCATTTCGGATGCGCCCGGACGGAACATTCGGCAGAGCGCAGCGCGGCGGGCGCGGCGGCAGCGGCAGCAGCGCGGCCCACCGTACCGTTCGTCGTGAGAGCGCGACCTCGCATCCGTTTCGCGTTTTACGAGAGCGCGCCCACCACGCGGCCCCCTGCTCCTGGCCCGCTCCCCAGGTTCCAGAAAAGTGTCAAGTATACCACTCACTCTATTTCGTAGCATATATCGTTCTTAGAACGTTTACAGAACCTTCAGAGAACCAAAAGAACGTTCTCAGAACGCTGTCTGAATGTTTTGTGCTACAAGGGGCTGTCTGTCTCTGCCGTCAGTGTAAGCGAGAGCATATCAGAGAAGGATGGAAGAGCGGCCTTGCTGCCTTTTATGTGTGGGCTTCCTCGGCTGTCGTAGTCAGTCTTAAATCAAAATGTCTACTGTAAAAGTGTAAAAACATCTATAAAGCATTAGGCGTTCCTTCTAAGTAATCAATGCGAAATTTCTTTGCACTGTGCGAAGTAATTTTTTAGTTGCGAAGCATTCCGTGCGTTGCTTTGTAGTAGGCTAAGAAACGCTTCATAATTTACATCGCTCCCGTTTTCCTCGCTGACATTTTACAGTGTCCAATTTATCTATAAGAAAAAACTGTATCTACTGGGTCAACATTATTCCGACCCTGAAATAATTTAAATTAACATTAATTCACAAAAATTGAGTAGGGCGACTTCTTGCCCTTTTCTTGCCACGGGTAACTCGGTGTAATGCAGTTTTCTGACGGCCAGCCGACGAGAGCCATTTGTCGAGGCATGACTGAGTGTCGCCATGTG